ATTTTTCAAAATGGCACTTTATGCTTTGGTTTTTGTTATTCTTATTGTGTAGTTCTAGGAATAAATCCGTAACCACCCTACAGACCCCTACCTCCATTGTTTCAAGGAAAGTAAAGCTAAAGAAAAATTTCTGGTGCCTTGGTGGGTTTAAACCAAAAAAGCCTTCTCTGGGGAAGATGTGTATGTTTTCCGGCACAATACAATCACAGTCAGTGTAAACTAGTTTGAAAAGGCACATTTTACCTGCTGCAATTTTGGCAATTCGCAAACATAGCGTTTCAGCTGACCGAAAGCAAAAGTGAGCAGTACCAGAGTAGCACTCGGAAAGGGGTGCACCATTCAAATTTTTACGTTCAGTGTTCCCAAGATTTTGTTTGGCAAACTCTCCGTGCTTTTCTTTGGTGGGGGCCTTTCCACATAGTTCAGTCTCAAAGAGTTCTGGGAACTCTCTGCATCTGAAACTGTCCAAACTGGTTCTGGACAGAAGATCTTCATGTCGCCCAGTTGGCTCTGGTGCTCTGGGGCCTATGGGATTGGATAAGTGGATTTGGCAGATGAAATGCCAGTAGATAATCTTCTCTCCTTACTATCCCCATATGTGCATCTTTCTTGCCCAGTCAGTGGGTGTGTAATTGTTTTTAGCTCTTTAAGTTGTTTATAAAAAGCATGACAACATTTTTTTGTTGTCTCATCATTCCCCAACCAAAGGGCAACAGTCAAAACTGTGCTTAGTAAATTGTAAGGCTCGATTAGTTTCACTCTCACACTGGTTTCTTCTGTCAAATGACGAGACCATTTTAGCCAAGGAAAGCCATCTGTGTAGTCCATTAGAATCAGACAATTATTGGGTGTATTGATTACACTCCAAGTACCAGGTTGGGTAAGAAACAATGAAATGCACTTTTCAATGTCAACATGACCTAAAACCACTTCTCCAAACTCATTGAACTGTAGACCAATTTGTTTCTGTAATCTTTGGCGGGTGTCATTCAGATGACCAAAAATCTAATCCTTACTTAAAATTGGATTGATGGCAATGGGCCCTTCCAATTTTTCCCCCACTTGTTTCTCAGCACATCTTGTGTTTATTTTTGTCCAATCGCAAGTGACCCCACAATTCGAAAAGAAAATCCCATAAATGCCGAGTGCTGTTTTCTAAAAACACAAGGCATAACAACATCCTTGAAAAGAGAGCCATTGTCAATTTCGAGGAGCCAGTCGCAAGAATAAGGTTTGTTCTTTTGAACTATTTCTGAACACTTGAAACTGGTTATAGAAACCAGTGCTTGGTGAGGGCTCTGGACAAAACAGTGCTTGAAGTTCTGGGTGGCGCAGGAACAGTTCATTTCTGAATTTGGATAAATTGCTGTGAAAATCGCGAGTTCCAACAGTTCTGTGCAGCAAAACGTCGACGGGTGACACAATTTTGGCAATCCTCGGTAAAACTAAATCCACATGTTATTCATCGTTCAGACAGTTCAGCAGCTCGCTGACCCTTTGCTTCCTTCAATAAGGATTTCTCTCGTCGTTTAGAAATTTTTCTGCGCATTGTATTCATGAAACCCGTTTCCAGGAGGTTGGCAAGCAACCCGGTTTGTGCTCCGGACAAAGAAGAAAATGTCCGTTTAAACTCTTTCTGTTTTTGTAAAATTTACCAAAGTTTTGAAATGGGCAAAGACGAATTACTGACTCGGCGTTAGGCACATTTTCCTTAGCTCGACAAGACATCCAAACAAATAATAAAAAGCCATAATAAAAACAATGCGTCAGTACTTTAAATGTTGGATGTCGCTGTCAAAGCATTCAACAACGCAGAGTTTCTCTTAAAATTTCTTCCCCAGGCCCCCGCAATGACGTCACAGATCACCCGGCCTATTTTCGTCAGCTGGACACAACATGACGACATACTAGAACACTGAACTCCCTTTCAGGGTAGGTGAGGCAAGTGGTGGCCATTTGAAAATATTAAGAAATTGCCTCTGTCCCACTCCTGAGAGATTTGTGTTTTGGTCCTTTACACACTGAGGTCCACATTCTATGGGGTGGTGAAAGTTTAATTTTTGTATCGCAGCAGCCAAAACAAACAAGGCGTCGTATGTTGTGGTTTTCCTCTAGACGGCAAAATTCTTTACTTAGAACCAAAACACATGTTTAAAGAGTTCGAAATGGTAAGGAATAAGCATCAAGACTTGCTCGATGGTTACTGAGAAGGTAATAATGACTCAGAAGCAATGATATCGTCCTTCGGGTTGCAAGAACGTCTGAATCAAAGGTTTTCCTGAATACATGTAAATCAAAACCACGTTACGGAACACTGGACAAGTTTAAAATGGGCTTTCTCGTCTAAGTTATGAAAATATTGCTAGTTGACTGAATGTATCTCTTATTAAATTAGCATTGTCTTCTGGAGGAATTGCTTTGGTGTTATTTATAATAATACACATTTCGTCTGACTTTTGCATTCTTAACAGATGAACAGCAATTGGAGAACGCTTATATCCAAGTCACTATTTTTCATGACCACGACCTTTACGGGTTTCACCTATTTATAGTTAAGTGAAGCTTGCTGACTTCACACTTTCCATTCAGAGTCGCTCATTTAATTCATATTCAATGATTGTAATAACGATGCCTTTGTTTATTAATTAAAGTGATAATTATTGATGTTGTTACCTAAGCTTTCTTTTTTTCTAACTACTTTGATCGAATTAGGGAAGTCAAAAAATTCCATATCACATTTCCCCTGTACTAAATGGACTTTTTGTTAATAGTGCGTATTTTGGTCTTGTGGATGTATGTACTAGATGACTTTGTGTTCAGTTGTAGTTATGAACCTCCTTATTCAATTGAAAGAATTCATTACAAGGTGGTGCTAAGATTATATTAAAGAAGTGGAACATAAACAAAGTAATTGATTGACAGTGAAATTGGTAATTCTTTGAATAAGGGACTTTATGATCTGCATTTCTTGAGAAACTGTTTCTCCTCATGATCTGTTTTAATTTGTAATTTCGTTAATGGTTGTAATATCTTGATGGGGACATATTTACTCATGCAATGTTGCCATAATAATTAAGTTACAGATGTATCAGTAAATAATATATACAGCTAGAAAAGTATATGTTGCATGACATCTCTAGGTAAATAATTTCTTGCTATGCAAAGTATACTGATAGTTTTGCCAATTTTGTAACAAACATGGCTTGAGCCATAAAATAGAAATAAAAGAGGGTTTTCAATTCACATTTGAGTCAATCTGAATATCTAAGACACTCGCTGAATTTACTTGAAAGTTGAGTAATCTAACTTAATATTTATTTTTTGATTAATAATACAGTTTTGCTTTATTACTATAGAGAAATAGTGTGCTACCTTTCAACCATTTGCAATTTTTTTCAGATCTTCAGATTTCATAGTTTTTGACAAAGTTTGAATATTGCTGTGTGAGTAGAATATATTAGTGTTGTCACTAGAAAGAATAAAATTTAACTGATTATGATAACATGTTAGAGCACTTGTAGATGTTATTTTGATACATAACAGAAAGAGAAGTGGTTTTAAGACTGATTTCTTCAGGTACTCCATATACTACATGTATATAGGATTGTATATTTGTGTGATAATATGTTATTGTAGTTCACAATCTGACTTCTTTTTATAAAAATGTAGTTTTTAAACCATGGCATTCAACTGGAATACCTATTAAATGTTCTACAGTGTCAAAAGCTGTCACCAGTTCAAGAACAATTCCAACACTATATTCATTATATTTTTATTGCTTCTGTAAATTTTGTCGTGAGATACATGTAAATTAGTGCAATTTCACAGGAGTGAATCTTATGGAATCTACATAGGCCATTACTGATATAGCATCCTATGTTTTTCTATGAAGCTGATAAGTCGTTTACACATGAGTTTTTGCAATATCCTAGAGAAACATGTTTGACAGCTACCCCTCTGTAATGACCCTGTAATTTGAGAATGACATTTCATCTTCACTTTGGTATATTGCAGTAACAAGTCAGAAAAACGTTTGACTTCTCTGGAATTATATGCCCATCTACAAGGACTTCTCATAAATGACATGTAAAGGCTGTTCAATTAACGGTGCTATTTAACATACAACTTTGGTACATATACCGCATCAAATCTGGAGCTTTTACAATGTATGTGGATTCTGTTTCACCAATTCTTTTTCTACTTCATTTTCTGTCACTGGCATGATAAAAAACTCTTATCCATGTTCCCTTTTAAATGGGGTTGCTGTTTCTGGTTATTTTTGGCTAACTTTGGACAAACATTTATGAAGAAGTTATCAAAATTTGCAGCTACTCGAACAGGATCTGTTATCCCGTCATTGTTCTGGCAAAGTAGCTTTGGCAGACACCTTTTTGAGCTCAGTTGCTTATTTATCACTTCACTAATCATTCTTTTAAGTTTGTTTGATATTTTCATGTTCTTCACTAAATTTGTCTGGATTTATATGAAGTGAAAAGTTTTTTACAGTATGTATGCCTTTGGCATTCTCTTATTTTAAACTTCGTTTTGGTGTTTTTTTTCTTCTTCTACAGTTTACCCTTTTTTTAATTCATAGTACACTGCGAAAAGCTTATCGTAGATATTACTGATTATAAGATATGCTTGGACATTATTTTAAGCTCCGCAAAAGATTTATACTAGGATTTTCTAATCAAATTAAATGTATCAGTTGAGGAAGTATTTAAGGGATTGTATTTTCCAGAACAAGCCAATTTTGATATATTAGATTCTAACATTGCTCTGAGGCTTATGGAAACAAAGGGAAATCACATAATTTGATATTAAGCGACAGACTTGAATCATAAAAGAAAAACCCGAAATAAATTTGTGTTAATCAAAGGCTCTGTTTAAAACTTCACAACTGATTTAGAGTCTCCAAGAAAACAATACAATAGAAAATAAAGATTGGTTATTTTATAGAAACCAGTTAAGGGTCAAAAATGTTTTTGCGGCACTTATACCTTAGTTTCCTTATTGAAGACCATTCTGTCAGCAGCTTTGGCATCGTTCAGAGCTGTCTCTTTTGCAGCCTCGGTCTCACTCTGCGAAAGGTTAGACATGAAGATAAAATGAAGGGTTTACTACCAAAGTTCACTTTAAAGATATTCACCCGTAACACCATCAAGTCTAAGATTTGTATATTTCTCCTCTTGCAGAAAAGAAAGTTCATACCTTGATTTTGTCTTCTATGCCAGGCAGAGGTGAAGCTTGGCTCAACTGAGATATCAGGGCAAAACACACGAAAGAGATTTTGATGAAACTTCCAAACATCGCCATGATTCGTTTGTTCGTTCTAAGGACAAGACAAGTTTGAGAGGTGGACACGGAGAACACAGACTATTTAATGGCTGAGTGTTAGCCAGACTGGAAGAGTATATGGAACAAGCTTATTCCGTGTTGAGACGTGTCACTGTGTAAGAAACTTTATCGTCACATAATCACATTTTCATTGATAAGACCAATACTCCGGCTGTTTCAGCTAAATGTGAAATTAAATTAGTGATCCCTGCGTGTCTCAAACAGACGTATTTCAGCACCCAGGAAACAAATATATTTTCTTCCCAACCTCCGAACACAAAAAATATTAAACTTCAGCCCGATAGGATGTGGAATATATAACACCGAGCTTTTCGAATAATGTAAAGAAAGAAAAAGACAAGTCTGGGTTTATCCGAATCACGAAGATTAGAGATTTTTCTTGGCAGTTTCTTTGCGAGAATACTCTCCAGTATTATATTCATATAAAGTATCCTTATATTTTTTATTGAGCCATGTGAACTATTGTATTTTTAGACTCTAGCTCTGGCCCTAACTTGTGCGATATAACAACAAGACAAGTGTCCAAGGCACACAGGAAGAAAAACTAAATGGCTCCATGCCAGACGGGAAGTTTATTTGATACGTGTCGGTGTAAGAAACTTTATCCCTCAGCAAATTCTAAACTAGCAAGTTTTTAATAAGACGAATAACAGACAATTTAAACTTCAGCTCGTTAGGACGTGTAATATGTGACGCTGAGATCTCGAAATGAAGTGAAGAAAGAAGAAGTCAAGTCTTGGTTCATTGTCTCTTTCACAAAGAGATGAGATTTTCCTTGAAACTGATCGAGTGAAAATATTCTCTTTTTATATGCTTATTTTTTATTCAGCTTTAGGAATCATTATTTTTTCTGTCACTGACTCTAGCTCCCGGCAGGAGTGCTCCCTGATATGGGCTATATAGGTATGTGCGGCCCCAAAGGGTATGGTTTTTCAGCCGTTTTGGTCCTCAATAGGGTATTGATTTTAGCTGATTTTGGCCATTTTGGTCATAAATAGGGTATGGTTTTTGCACTCTCGCCTTGATATGGGTATGTTTTTAAGAAGAAGCCACTTTTTCGTCATTATCGAAAAGATAATCAACAAAAGCCCTTCACAAATTATGTTTACGGTAATTTAACATTGGTCTGAACTAGGGAACTAATTGTAACGCAGGTCTGAAACAGCGATTTGATTTAAGGGTCAGGTCATAAATAGGGTTTCGAATTTATGGTCAGGTCATAAATAGGGTAGGCAATATCGCAGATTTCGGTCGGTCGATTTCGGTTTTGGGAAGTGGGCCGCACACCCCCACCCAATTTTTCCGGGTGTAACCCCCTCCCCCCGGGCTTTGGCTCCTGGCCAGTGCATTTCAAATTTTAACGTTCGTGCAGACTTTCTATACGGAACATATTCTATATATTGCTAATTAGGCCCCGTCCACACTACGCCCGAGGTATTTAAAAACGTGGCCTCGCTCTGAAAACTCATCAAATGTTTTCGGTCCACCCTGCACCGGAGAAATTCGAAAACGCAACAATCACGGTTCATTTTGGATCTATGTCTGAGGAAAACTGGCTCAGGGAAATCAAATCAGTGATTATATATATCGTGACTTCATCGTTATCGAAAAGTTCCGTTCTCAAAATGTTTTCAGTACACACTAAAACGCAAAGCCGACGTTTCAAATTCCTCTGGTTTGAAGATCGTTTTCGAGACGGATTAGTGCGTTTTCAAATTTCTCCAGCGTGTAGACGAGACCTTAGTGACGGGATATTAGAAGACCTTTTCTTCAAAGCCGCAAATGAGCAAGAAATAATTTTGAAGAATTTAAATTGATATTTAGTGGTTTTTTTTTTCCTTCAGGGAAGTGGTTCTTTTCTGTAGGCGAAATTAAGTTCATACCGCTGTTGCCTCTTAAGGTCGACAGAGGTTGACAGAGGTAAAGCCTGGCTAATTTGAGACATCAGGGCGCAACACAAGAAGGTACTTCTGATCACACTTACAAACATCTCCGTGTTGCTGGATTAGTGCACGATACTATTATCTCAGTCAGTCGTGTTATGATAGTTATTTTCATGCATTAAGGACGGTGCCTACTAATTGCAAAGGTTTTTGCGCCAGGTTAAGACCACATGGAAAAAGTAGATCTTTGCAATTGCCATTGGAATCCACAAATAAATATGGGGATAGCCACGCATTTTTTCGAGATAATTAGCCTTGAATCTCAACAAAAATGCTGACATCAGCATTTTCCTGAAAAAAGAAGGAAAGGATATTTCTTC